AAGACAAAGCTCAAGCACATCTCACACAAGCAATATTGCTCAAACTACAGAAGCTGGACTTGGAAACTCTCTGTCATCCACTCTATTCACCAGACCTTGCACCAACTGATTACCACTTCTTCCAGGCTCTGAATGACTTCTTGCAAGGAAAAATACTCAGTTCTCAACAAGCTGTGGAAAATGCCTTTCACCACTAGCTCTCCAGGCTTCTTTACTGCTGGCGCAAACAAGCTACTGTTAAGATGGCAAAACTGTGTCGACAGTTTAGGAACATACTTTTATTAATTGTACTGCTTATTGTTTGAGATATAATAAACTACCTTTCTATTCAAAATTGGACATTTCATATTTAATGACCTAATATGTATATAAATTTTGTTTATCTATTCACTCCTTGATGGATATTTACATTGCTTCCACCTCTTGGCTTTTGTGAAAAATGCTGCTATGAAAAAGGCAGTGCAGATTTCTCTTCCAGATCCCAATTCCAATTCCTTTGGATATATACCCAGATATACCCTTTAGATATATTCCCAGTGGGATTGTTGGATTATATATGATAGTTTTATTTTTAATTTTTTAACAATTGTTATTTTCTGTTTTTGCTTTTTTAATAGTAGCCATCCTAGTGGGTGTGAGGTATTTCTGTGTCTTTTATAAGGACACTTGTCATTGGATTTAGGGCCCACCTGGTTAATCCAGGATTATAACATCTCCAAATCCTTAACTTAATTACATCTTCAGATCCTCTTTTTCCAAGTAAGGTCACATTCACAGTTTCCAGGGATTCGAGCATGGACATATCTTCTGAGGTCCACCATTGAATGCCCTACACTCCCTTTCCTCTTCCTATTTTTCTCTTTGGCACTTCTCTCCATCTGACATGCTATATGTTTACTTATTTATCTTGTTTACTGGCAGACAATAATCAAGATAAAGCCATGAGGACAAACGTTCTTGTCTGTTTTGGTTACCATTGTGTTTCCATTACAACAGTGACTGGCACAAATGGCTGCTCAGCACATATTGGTTGAATGAGTGAATGGGGGGGCGGCCGGCATATACAAGGAGCCTGGACAAACACTGGCAGAAATTGCCCACAACCTTTGAAAGGAGAAGTTTCTGGATTTGAGGAATTAGATTACCTAAGGTAAATTTTCTATAGTAGGGAATGCAATCTTTTTAAGTTTACCCATCAATTAGGACAAATTTCAGGGCATGGTGGCTCACCCCTATAATGCTAGCACTCTGGAAGGCCGAGGTGGGAGGATTGCTTGAGGTCAGGAGTTTGAGACTAGCCTGAGCCAAGAGAGAGACCACATCTCTACTAAAAGTATAAAAAATAAGCCCGGCGTGGTGGCGCATACTTGTAGTCCCAGCTACTTAGTAGAGGCTGAAGTAGGAGGATTGCTTGAGCCCAGGAGTTCAAGGTTGCTGTGAGGTATGATCACACCACTGCACTCTAGCAACAGAGCAAGACTCTGTCCCCCCCTGCCAAAAATCTCACAAAAAAAAAAAAAGAAAGAAAAAGAAAAAAGAAAGTAACAATTTCAAATGCTATTTCTCACAAAAGTGAATTAGGGTTCCTTGGAGAAATGGCGGATTTTGTGTCTAGGGCAGGAAATGTACAAAACAGAAAGCAAAGAAGCCCTAAAGACCACTAAGATTATGTCGAAAGGACACAGGAGTGACTGAATGTTTGATGAGACAATTAGAACATTAAAAAAAAAGGACAATGACTACAACGGATTAAAGCACGTCAAATATCTAAAAATCCATAAGTTCATGATAGTACTGTCCCTGCCCCCCAAAAAAGCCCAAATTAGTCACGGTTAGAGGTTGCCGAGGCATCAATCCAACATTTTTAAAACTGATAAATAAAGGGAAAGCATCAAACACGTATCTGGCTTTTCTCAATGGATTGTATTTCAGAGTAACCAGAAAGTAGCCGAGGGAGTGCTCACTTTTGTAGAAGAATCCCATCTTATAAATGCAGGAGGAATGAGAGCATTAGAAATTGTCACTCCATAAATTAATATTACTATATTAGAGACAGAAATGGTCTTAGAAGTTTTGCAGGGCTCTGCCCTGAAAGAATATGTGAACATGTTAGTTTGCATATCAAAAGCTGCTCCACCTCAGGAGGGCATCTCAAAGGTCAGTAACAGCTGCCTTCCAAGGTGACGCTGTGGTCTTAACCCCGTGGTTCTCACATGCTTTGAAGGACAAAGCAAGGTCTACATGGAATCACGGGATGACAGCTGATCCAAGAGTGTCTGCCCAGAGACAGATACCTGTGGCTAAAAACAATTAGCCCAAGGGACAGTTCCTGCTTGACTTCTGATGACCTGTCTCTATCTGCAATACCTAGATAAAGAAATATGGAGCCACTATATCTCTGTTTAACCCTTCTGTTAAGTTAATAGCTTTATCTTAGAAATTAGAAGTTTGTCCCTGAAAGATTTTGTAACCAGAGTTAGTGAAGGGATCTAAAGAAGCCTTTTGAAAGACTTTTAACCCAAAATGAACTACCTGTTATTATGTGAATCTGTTACCCCTGGCAACCAATCACTGTACCTATAAATACCCACGTGAAACTTTATTCTGGGCCTTATGATTCACGGGGATATCATAGAGACCCCTGAGTACTCCGCTTTTGTGTTTTATCTTTATAAATCTATAAAACTATACCTTCATCTCTGTGTATTCTATTTCTGTTATTTTCCATTTTCTGTTATTTTCTCATCCTTTACGATGATCCCTACCTAAGGGACCTGATTTTTTGCTGGGAGTGTAGCTAATTCCCTGCAAGAAATCACCATTTTGAGGCCGGGTGCAGTGGCTCACGCCTGTAATCCTAGGAAGCCGAGGCGGGAGGATCGCTTGAGGTAAGGAGTTTGAGACCAGCCTGAGCAAGAGTGAGATCCCGTCTCTACTGAGAACAGAAAAATTAGCCACGCATGGTGGCATGCGCCTGTAGTCCCAGCTACTTGGGAGGCTGAGGCAGAAGGATCGCTTGAGCCCAGGAGTTTGAGGTTGCTGTGAGCTAGGATGACGCCATGGCACTCTAGCCCAGGCAACACAGCGAGACCTTGTCTCAAAAAAAAAAAAAAAAACAAACCCACAAAGGCAGCTAAGTAGAATTATGTACCTGTTAGCTAAAACCACAAAACAGTTAAGCAAAGTTGTAAGCCTGTTACAACTATACTGCTTGTAAAAATTGCTGCTAATTGGCTATCTTTTGAATCCTATTGCTAATTGGTTAACCATTTATGCTTGTATGCTATTGGATATGTCTAACCCCCAAAAAAGTATAAAACCTGACAAAAATGAAGAAGCGGTGCTCAGAATTTGGAGACAAGTCTCCTCTGGGTCCGCCGGCGAGATTAAACGCTGACTCTCCAACTCTCTGCGTGCCGCTCGGTTATTCCTTTGGGACCGGTTGCTGTAACACTTGCTGTAACAAGGTACCCTATGAACAATTATTTGTCAATTTAAAATATTAAAACAAATAAGAGACTTGGACTGTAATTAAACAATCTAATGTAAAAAAATTTTTTGAGGCAATGGTGGAAATTGAACACATAAGTATTACATGATGTTAAACAATTATTTTTAGTTTTCATGAGTGTGACAGTATTTTTTAAAGTTCTTATCTGTTACAGACACACACTTAAGTATTCATATGTGAGATGACATGATGTCCAGGACTTGCTTTAACATACAGGAAGAAAAATGTAGAAAGGGATAGATGAAATGAGAAAGACAGAAAGTTGATTGTTGTTGAAGCTGGATGATGAGCACAGTTGTCCCTCAGTTTCCACAGTGGTTGGTTCCTGGACCCCCACAGATACCAAAGTCCGCAGATGCTCAAGTCCTTTTTTGAAAGTTCATGGTAATTATTGTCTCTTTTATGTGTTTTTTAATTGTCTCTATAAAAAATTAAAAACAAAGTTTCAACTTTCCTTTGCTCTAATTCCATGCCCATTAAGGAACTTTCTAGCTTGTTTTTCACCTTCCTGTGCACACGAAAAGAGTAACTAGAGGATGTAAACAAGCCCCATGAGCCTATTCATTCCACGTTTTCCTCCTCCTCTTTTCCTCAGTTTTATTAGCCTAGATTTTCACTGCCGGCTTGCACCAGTTTTTTCAAAAAGTGAGAGGTAGAATGCGGCAGAGAAGCTGTGGAGAAGGCAGTGGGCAACAATAAACAGAGAAGTCAAATAACTTAAACCTGCAGAGTGTTCTCTACTGGATTTGGACAGATACCACAAACCGTCCATTTGACTGCTGAATGTGGCATCGTTGCCTGTTCCATCAGACAGAAGCTGAGTTAAATGCTAACATTTAAAAATCGTGAGATTTCATGTCAAAACCCAAACTTCCAGTTTCACACAGAAAGTTCCGAAACCTCTGGCAGCACTGGGCTTTTGGTCCCCACTCAAGAAAGAAATCCCCACTCGGGGAGGCTCCGAGGAGGCAGGCTCTCCAGATGTCGTGGAGTGTTGGTCTCAGTTCTCATGGGTCAGACGGACAGGCAAGGTAAAAAAACAGCACAGGACTTTTTCTAAGTTTTCAGCATGGAAAGCACTCGAAACTCCGCGCTGCGAAAACCTCAGGCACGCTTTAGGCCATCGGAGCCAACAAACCTTGCCGGGTTCTCTCTGACGTCTCCGTGGCGCTCTGAGACCCAAACCAGTGAGAGGGCGCAGGACAGGCGCCAAGGCGCGGGCGCCTTTCCCAGCTGTGCAGCATAGCTGGTGCGGAGCGCAGGCGCTGAGAGTTGCAGTGGAGGAGGTGCACAGTGCGCGGCGGTGTGCGGAGTGCACGGAACTGGAGGGCACGGAACTGGAGGGCAGTCGTCACTGCGCAGGCGCCTTCCCTCTTGTCGAGTATCGCCGCTGGGGCAGCGTGCAGGCGCAGACCAGTGCGCGGGGCGGGGGGCGGTGCGCAGTGATGTACGCGATGAGGACAGAGGGCGGTATTACTGCACAGACACCCTCTCCCCGCTACTGCGCGGCGTCCTTGGGATGGCGCGCAGGCGCAGAGCGGTGCGCAGGCGCGTTGAGGTGAGGCGCGATGGCAGGTGTCGGAGCCAGGCAGTTGCCTGTGATGGGGTGGCCGGCGCTGCTGCTCCTCGCGCTGTGCACCGCGGGCGCCCAGGGGCTCTACTTTCACATCGGCGAGACCGAGAAGCGCTGCTTCATCGAGGAAATCCCCGACGAAACCATGGTCATCGGTCAGGCGGGCTGAGGGTGGGGAGGCCCTTTGTCACCGCCTGGCCCTTGGCGGCGCCCCCTTCTCCCGAGCCCGGCCGGGTCTCCTCACCTCGATCTGGCCTGAGGGTTCCCTGAGTACGCAAGGCCCCCTGCCCAGCGCCCCGGGCCGCACATTGGAGGGGGCCGGGCGGAGAGGCGGCCCGCCGGGGCTGAGTCGTGACAGTGTGTCTGCCCCGCAGGCAAGTATCGCACCCAGATGTGGGATAAGCAGAAGGAGGTCTTTCTGCCCTCAACCCCTGGCTTGGGCATGCATGTGGAAGTGAAGGACCCTGACAGCAAGGTAGGACCGCTGCTAGCAGTGCTCTAACCGGCATGGAGCCGTTAAGTGGAGCCCGGGAAAGTGTAAAGCACTACCTGGGTCCTGAGTTGAGGCCCTGAGCGACAGGAGCTTTGTAGTAAAGGAAGGGGGGCCTTCCCTTGCAGGTGGTGCTGTCCCGGCAGTACGGCTCTGAGGGCCGCTTCACGTTTACCTCCCACACGCCTGGTGACCATCAGATCTGCCTGCACTCCAACTCTACCAAGATCGCTCTCTTTGCTGGTGGCAAACTGGTAAGGGTATTTTCTCTTTGGCCCCCGCTTGGAATCTCTCGCTTGTTTCTAAATTTTAATTTGTTATCATTTGTGCTATTTTGTAGCACAATCAGAATTGAGAAGACAGATGTTGCCCTTTGCCCCACAGCCAGGGACAGAGTTCCATAGCCTGGAACAGGTGATTGGAGGGCCCACCACTCAGACACTTTTTGTTTACTTGTAGCGTGTGCACCTGGACATTCAGGTTGGGGAGCACACCAACAACTACCCTGAGATTGCTGCTAAGGATAAGCTGACTGAGCTGCAGCTCCGTGCCCGCCAGTTGCTTGATCAAGTAGAACAGATTCAGAAGGAGCAAGATTACCAAAGGGTAAGGGCATATCTCATTGTACTTGGAAAGGGCAGTTGACCTTGGGTCTAGTAGTATATCCACTATACCTACTCATCAGTTTTCTGCTTGGGGCCTTCCCTGGTTGGGAGATCAGCTCTACAGAAAGTGGAATGGAAGGTATCGGTCTAGGGTTTTTTCAAATTTTTTATTGTGGTAAAATACACATAACATAAAACTTGCTATTTCACCTGTTTCTAAGTGTATAGTTCATTGGTATTACATACATTTATGATGTGCCACCATCACCACCGTCCATATCCAACCTTCCCAAAATGAAAATCTGTACTTATTAAATAATAACTCCGCATTCCCTCCTTCCCAGCCCCTGACATGCACCATTCTACTTTCTGTCTCTATGATCCTGACTGCTGTAACTACCTCATATAAGTAGAATCATATAGTATTTGCCCATTTGTACCTGGCTTATTCCATTCAGTATAGTGTCCTCAAGGTTCATCCATACTGCAGCATGTATCAGAATGTCCTTCCTTTTTAAGGCTGAATAATATTCCATTGTATGATATATAACATTTTGCTTTAGATAGTCATTTTTAAGCTCTATAAAATAAAGAGAGGGCAGTTCACAATCTGGTAAGAGCCATTGTCCACCTGTTTTTCCTGGGATCTTGTTGTAAATGGTAGGAGCATGATTTCAGTCCTAACAGAGATGCTTGGGGCACAGCACTGTCCCTTCTTTGGGGCAGTCTCAGTGGGAAAACCATAGCACCCCTAATGGAATCACTGGCAGTATTCCAAAAGGTGTTTGGTTCTGGAGTTGAGTAGTTACATACAGAGAGGGTCCTTACAACAGCCTGGGACTGTTTCTCCTGCTTATTTAACCCTGTGTTGCCCCACGCAGTATCGTGAAGAACGCTTCCGACTGACCAGCGAGAGCACCAACCAGAGGGTCCTGTGGTGGTCCATTGCTCAGACCGTCATCCTCATCCTCACTGGCATCTGGCAGACGCGTCACCTCAAGAGCTTCTTTGAGGCCAAGAAGCTGGTGTAGTGCCCTCTCCATATGACTCTTCCTTTTCACCTCATTTATTTGGTACTTTCCCCACCCAATCCCTTATCCACCTGGATTTTGAGGGAAAAAATGAAAAAGAATATAAGTCACGTTGGTTCCATGGCAACAAACCATTCAGATCAGCCACTTGTTAACTCTGGTTCTCAAGGAAACAGGACATTGATCCAAGCTTTCAAAATCTTTCTTAGGACTCGTGAGGGGCCGCAACTAACCCAGGACTAAGTCTGGCTTCTTTTGTCTCCAGTGATTCCCCTCTGTCCTATCACAAAATGAGCAAATGAAAAATCTGTCCTTACCTTCTGCTCTCTCTACATCTGCTCAAGCAGTAGGTGACTAGCATGCCCCATGGAGGAGGCCCTGCCTTACTGCCCGCTGGTCAGTCCTGGGTTCATTCATTGGCTTTTTGAATGTAAATAAGGGGCAGGTCTTGGCCCCAGAGGATTGAGATGTTTTTCTATATATTAGAACTATTTTTTGATAAATTATATATTTTCCTTCCTAGTTGAAGTATTACTGCCTTTAACTAGCTGAAAACACCAATGCAGTCCTGCATTCTGTTTATTCACACATTTTTGGTAACTATCATGGCAGCTCTCAGGATTTCAGCCCTCTGGGCCAGAAAGCAATGTTACAGCTGTTCTCAAGGCTGTATCAGAGGGCCAAGCAGAGTTCCCTTGGACACCTGTGATTTCCATCCCATAGGGCCTCAGAGTCAGAGGTAAGGTAGTAACAGAGCTAGCACAGGGCAGTGTACTCTTCTCTCTTCCCTTAACTTTTATTTAAGCTGTGATAAATGTTTTCTTCAAGAGAACCAGATTTGGTTCTTTATACAGAATTTTCCAGTGAAATAAAAACATGTTGTAGTAGCTGTGTTTGAGATGAAATAAGAGGTTGAGGGGAGGCACAAAGGGAAAGAGGAAAGGTTCCTGGCTTGGATGGCCTCTGCTGATGACCTGGAGCAGACTTTAATGTGACTGCGTGGTACTAAGGCTTGGCCTAGCCAGGCCAGTCTCTAGGGGGTTTGGGAATGGACGAGTGGTTGCCGGACCATTCACAAAGTTTAACCAAGTAGACAATGCATGAACAAGGAATCATCAGAAGAAATTAAGTACCTTAATTTTCTTAGCCCTCCGAATCACAAATTTGTACAAATCTTAGTACACTTCCCTCGTACTCTTCTCCTGCATAAAACTTAATACTATTAGTTGCCCATTCTTGACATTTCATAGTTTTATCACATATTTATTTGAAATATTTATTAAATTTACCTGACCTACAGAACTAAATTATTGTTATTTTTATGTCCTATACTATTCCATATATATGTGCTTATTTATACTCTTAAAAATATATGCAATTTAGTTCTATAGGCTTTTTCCTTTAATATTTTTATATTTTAAAAATTCTATATATTCCTTATATTTCTAATTTTGGGTAGCCTTGTAATAGTCCATTAAGGTGAAATGCCAAAATTCTTCAAATATTTAAGATAATTTACAATTTTCTTCATGTTAGAATTAACATAGGGAAAATCAGATATCCTTTGAACTAGTTAGCTGCGTGAACCGCTGGCCTGAAGCCCTTGAGGAGTGTATGACATGTCAGGAAGGGACACATTTCTGCTCTATGGCTGTTACTATTAATATAATAGAAATCTAGCCAGCAAAGCAGACAGTGGAGCATAGGCTGTTAGAGGACAGGAAGGCACAGATAAGGGCTGGGCCAGGCTTCTACAGGTTTGTCTGGCAGTACAAACAATTGAGAATATCTCAACTATGTTGGTAGGTTTCTCTTATTTCTGATAGGAAAAAGAGTGGAGTGAGGACAAAGGTGGGTGTGCATTATACTTTTACAGGTGGGAGGCAGGTGGGATTGGGATGGCTGGAGGATGGGCTAACAGCTCGTGGCTCTGGGGAGAATTAGGATTTTCATACTAGTGTGTCAGTCACAGATACATTATGGCCTAAAAAGATTTTTTTTTTGTTTGTTTTTTTTAGAAACAGCAGTTAGGCTATACTTAAAGAATATTGGTGATTCTCCTCCTCTGCTCATACTACCCTTGATTCCATTTTGAAGTTCCTGCTTTCTTAGACTCTACAACATCCTTACCGAACAGCCTTCTCCCTCTTTACCACAAAAAAAGAAAAAGGAAAAAAAAAAAAAGTTGCAGGGAAGGGGGCATGCATTCTTAACATCCTGTATCATCCCAGCCCCGTTCCCTAGTTTTCACTGGGACTAGCAGTGCCCATCTTCATCATTTGATCCCAGCCTGACTTTCTGTTTTCAACAGCCAGAGGATAGCCTCTGGTATTCAGATGGTGGGCTGTACACCTCAGACAGGATGCACAGAATCACACCATTAGCTTGTCAACAGATACCTAGGCAACTCAGGTCCAGTCTCAGTAGGTTTGGGTTTGGGTGGTATGGTAGGCAGAATAATGACTCCCCAAAGATGTCCTTACCCTTATCCTTGAAACCTGTGAATATGTTACCTAGGATGGCAAAGGAGAATTAAGGGTGCTAATCAAATGACTTTAAAATATGGAGATTGGCCAGGTGTGGTAGCTCACGCCTGTAATCCCAGGACTTTGGGAGGCAGAGGCAGGAGGACCACTTGAGGCCAGGAGTTTGAGACCAGCCTGGTCAATACAGCTGGACCCTGTCTCTACAAAAAAAAATGTAAAAAATCTGCTGGGTGTGGCTGTAGTTTTAGCTACTCAGGCGGCTGAGGTAGAGGGAACCCTTCAGCCTAGTTCGAGGCTGTAGTGAGCTTGATCATGCCACTACACTCAGCCTGGCAGTCTGGGCAACAGTAAGACCCTGTATCAAAAAAAAAAAAAAAAAGGGGGCGGAGATGGTGAGATTATCTTGGGTCATTTGGGTGGGCCTAATGTAGTCACAAGGGTCTGTCCCCTTTCCCCCATCGTCAACCCCAGTAACCGTGGTTGAGTCATCACTTGGCACCAACTCCGACGTTCTCTTCAGCTTCCCTCTTCCACTTTTTTTTTAAATCATGAAACTCTTTTTATAAAGTTTAAAATAGCAAAACTAAACATTTTGTTCATTGGGTATTATATGTACATGATAACACTGTTTCTTAAAGGGAAAGCACTTTACATTCTTTCGGTCTTTGAATCTGTGCATGTCCCTGAGATAAGTATTCCAGCCATGGGAAACTTAAGGCATGGAAAGAGTGTCACACACCAAAGCTTAGGAGTGGCCTCCAGAGCTTGAACCCTTGTCTAAGCTGGGGTCACCAGCCTGGGTGTGCCACGGGGTGATTGTCATCTCTCCATCTGGTCGAAAAGTCACCCACCACTCTGTCCTGGGGCCCAGCCCGCCTGGCTCCAGGCAGACTCTGAGGCGGTGCTCCCCTGGACCTGATGGATCCTGCTGCAGCCAGCACTGGGCTGGAAAATACCGCTGTAGCAGTGCCAGATGCAGGGCATCCCCACTGTCAGCCTCCTCCTGGGTCTGGAGGGCCACCCTGAGCCCACAGTCCCTGCCAGGCCCAAGCCGGTGGCTGAAGTAGGCAGCTGTGTCCAGAAGCAGGGCGACCAGGTAGGAGGTATTCCTCCAGGCCGTCTAGAAGCAGAAGGGAGGAGGCTGGGCCTGGGGTCTCATAGGCAGAGCACAGGAGCCAGAAAAGCTCTCCGGTTGAGGGTGGGTACTGGAAGAGGATCTTCTGGAGCCGCATTGGGTCCAGCGTCGCTCCAGTCCCGCAGGGCAGGCTTTGAAGAAGCCTCCGGGTCAGGAAGAGGACGGGGCGCCGCCTCCAGGGCCGCCGCGAACAGCAGCGCTGTTTTTCCAGAGCCTGGAGCGCCGAGCAACAACAAAGGCGGTTCGGCCTCAGCCGTGTTCTCCTCCCCAGCCCCTCTTCTACTTTTAAAGACTTGTGATAAGGATTCCCACCTGTATCAGTTTCCCATTGCTGCTTTAAAAATTACAACAATGTAGTGGCTTAAAACAACACAAGTTTATTATCTGAAAAGTTCTGTAGGTCAGAAGTCTCACACTGGAACTACACCTTAATTTTAGCCCTGTGAGGCCCCTGTCAGACTTGGGACCCACAGAACTGTAACCGGTCAGCCAGGTTTGAGAACCCCACACCAACCATCCTTCTATTTCAGGCAGTTGGTGGCAAGCTTTGTTCTGCTCATTCTTCCAACCGGACCCCCTCGGCCCAGCCTCTCTCCGAGGCTCCACAATACGCTGGTGCACCCCGCATCACTTGCTCTCTCACGGCCAGCCCCGCCCCGTTCGCCGGACCCCTAACTTTCATCCAGGGGTGACGGTCCTTGCCAACCCTTTCGGCGCCGACCGAGGGTCCTCCTGCGAGTCCTGAGAACCAGGCGCGTCAGCTGCGTCGCGGAACGCTAGAGGAACCGGTAGGGGGCTCTGCTGCCTAAGGTTCCGACTCGACCCCGAGCCTCGCGACGTCCACCTAGACCCGGTCCTGGGCGTAGCACAGCCGCTGAACCCCGCCGGAACACTGGGGAACTAGGCGCCAGCATTTCCGGGAAGTGAGGGCTCCTCCGAAGCTGATTGGCTGTTACTTTGACCCGCCCCCGTGCCGTACGCGTTCTTCCTGTCGCGCGTGCGCGCTGTCACTGCGGAGCAGCAGCATGGCGGACCTAGAAGCGCTGGGATTTGAACACATGGGCCTTGACCCCCGGCTCCTGCAGGTTAGGGGCGGGTTGGACAGCCGGCTTACCGGCTCCGCGGGACGCGCTGCCACCTTCTGCGCCTTATGAACCGCGCTCCTCCTCTCTCCTAGGCTGTTACTGACCTGGGATGGTCGCGACCTACGCTGATCCAGGAAAAGGCCATTCCGCTGGCCCTGGAGGGGAAGGACCTCCTGGCTCGGGCCCGCACGGGCTCCGGGAAGACGGCCGCTTATGCTATTCCGATGCTACAGCTGCTGCTACACAGAAAGGCGGTCGGTAGTGGGAAGGTCGAGGGGAGGAAAGAGACGGGCTCTAAACGGCTGAGAAGGGAGATGCCCCCTGGCACAGGTTTTCTCTTGGCATTATACCTGTGTAGGCTGGTCTGAGAGAACCTGGTGCTGTTGTGACAAACGCTCTGGGCTGGAGTTCAGGTTACCTGCATCCTAGTCCAGGCCCTGCTACCATCAGCCTTTGTGTAATAGTCAACAAATCACTTTGTTTTTAGTATAAAAAGGAGGCACATCTCTTCCTGTTTGTAGAATTAGTATGAGAGTTCAGCTCCATGACTCCTACATTTTAAGTGACTTCATATACATGCAATAAGATATTCTCTTTGAGAGTGTGTGCCTGGAGAAAGAACTCTCCACCCTACATTCTAAAGTAGGCAGAGTGAGGGGTTGATCAGAACACAGCTGAGGTGTATTGCAGTGGATGGGTCAGATTGCCTGGAAGAGGTAGAAAAAAGCATCTGATGGACACAATGACGTACACTGCTAGCTAAAGTTTTTAATTCATGTTTTTACAGATAGGTCCTGTGGTAGAACAGGCTGTGAGAGGCCTTGTCCTTGTTCCTACCAAGGAGCTGGCACGGCAGGCCCAGTCCATGATTCAGCAGCTGGCTACCTATTGTGCTCGAGATGTCCGGGTGGCCAATGTCTCAGCTGCTGAAGACTCAGCCTCTCAGAGGTGAGTGAAAGCAACAGGGCTGTAGGTAAATGAAGCTACACAGAGAGGTAGGGTTGGGTTTGTGTGCAGCAAGAGAGAGCAGTTGAGGTCCCAGCTGCTACATTCTTCCTGATACTGATGTCTTGCCCGCCTGCAGAGCTGTGCTGATGGAGAAGCCAGATGTGGTGGTGGGGACGCCATCCCGCATATTAAGCCATTTGCAACAAGATAACTTGAAACTGCGTGACTCTCTGGAGCTGCTGGTGGTGGATGAAGCAGATCTTCTTTTTTCCTTTGGCTTTGAGGAAGAATTCAAAAGTCTTCTCTGGTAAACAAACAAACAAACAAACAAAAAAATGTGGGGATCATTCCTAGTGGAAATGTTTGTGAGTAGAGAGTTGGGCCTAGGGCAGAGTGGCTGGAAGTTTAGCTGCCACAATTAGAGGCCCTTGGACCTGAAGTCTTATCAGTCTTTGTTTTGTTGCAGTCACTTGCCCCGGATTTACCAGGCTTTTCTCATGTCAGCTACTTTTAACGAGGATGTGCAAGCACTGAAGGAGCTGGTACTACATAACCCAGTAAGGAGCACCATGGGAGTGACTAGAGCTGTGGGTATGGGGATACTCTAAGGACTTGATACTCCTTCTCAGAGGAGCCTTTGTTGTTTTGGCTGGGACAGTTGCCACTGGGTGTCTTATCCCTGGTACTGAGGCACTAAAAGCCAGTGATATAAAATCACTGCATATTTCCAGGTGGACCCAGGGGTTATCTCCCAGTTCAAACCGTGGTTGCCTAAAAGCCTGAGCAGGAACCCCCTCCACCCCCCACAAGGAGCTGTTTTGAGTGGCCGAGCCAAAATTCTAAGGCAAAGGTTCTCACTTTAATTAAATTTTACCTTTCAGAAGGCCTGTTACCATAGGCTTTCTCTACGCAATGTAGTAGTTTATCGATGTTGTTTCATTTGTTCTGTGCCCCAAATGCTTTATGTATAGAGTTTTCAGGTTACAAAACTGGAGGGGACTTAGGGTGCCAAGAATCCTTAAATGCAACTTTGCCCTGCACTAAAATGTTGGTGCTTTGGTTGGCAAGGAAGTGGTTGCAGCACCTCTGTGTTCTCTTGTTTTCCTAACCAGAAGCCTGTCCTCTTTCCAGGTTACCCTCAAGTTGCAGGAGTCCCAGCTGCCTGGGCCAGACCAGTTACAGCAGTTTCAGGTGGTCTGTGAGACCGAGGAAGACAAATTCCTGTTGCTGTATGCGCTGCTCAAACTGTCATTGATTCGGGGCAAGTCCCTGCTGTTTGTCAACACTCTGGAGCGGAGTTACCGTCTACGGCTATTCTTGGAACAGTTCAGCATCCCCACCTGTGTGCTCAATGGAGAACTCCCACTGCGCTCCAGGTTTGCCGCAGCTGACATCTTGGTTTAGATAAGTGGAAGATAGGGATTGAAAAGGGACGCAGTAGATATTCCTGTTTCCTTTTTTTTTTTTGAGACAGAGTCTCGCTCTGTTGCCTGGGCTAGAGTGCTGTGGCGTCAGCCTAGCTCACAGCAACTTCAAACTCCCGGGCTCAAGCAAACCTCTGCCTCAGCCTCCCAAGTAGCTGGGACTACAGGCATGTGCCACGATGCCCGGCTAATTTTTTCTATATATTTTTAGTTGTCCAGCTAATTTCTTTGTATTTTTAGTAGAGACGGGGTCTCGCTCTTGCTCAGGCTGGTCTCGAACTCCTGACCTTGAGCAATCCTCCCACCTCGGCCTCCCAGAGTGCTAGGATTACAGGCGTGAGCCACCATGCCCGGCCCTACTTCTTAAGCACTTGGTAGGGGCCAGGCTCTGTACTTGACCCATACTAACTTATTCCTTACAGCTCTGAAATCCTTTCTGTTACTTGATTTTCAGCTGAGGAAGATGAGGCACAAAGGTTAAGGAGGGAAAGAAATTAAGAAGAAGAAAAAGTAGGAAAGGGTGATGGTTACTGTGATGCTAGGGATGAGGGAAGGGCTTCCAGCTCTGTAAGCTTGACCTTCTCACTCTTGGACTGCAGGTGCCACATCATTTCGCAGTTCAACCAAGGCTTCTATGACTCTGTTATAGCAACTGATGCTGAAGTCCTGGGGCCTCCCGTCAAGGGCAAGCGTTGGGGCCGAGGGCCCAAAGGGGACAAGTGAGTCCACATTTCTCTCTCCTCAAAATGGCCTGGTTTTCAGCTTTTTGGAAGACTGAAAGTAGAGTGCATAGAGCAAGAGCCAGACAGTCTAGGCCTGGCTGGTAGTGTAGCCCAGAGAGCCCCACAGGCCCTTGCTCAGCTGCCTGGATGTAAAGAAGGGGAGTGAAGGTTGCACACTTCATGTGCAGCACAGAGGGCAAGATTACGCCTGGGTTGTTGGTACTTACCGTCCTGCAGGGGAGATGGCCCAGCCTGCATTGGGTGTGTGGCTGTGACTTGCAGGGAACATATTTCTGAGGAGAAAGAGGAAGCCCCCCAGTCTCTGATCACCTGAAGGGTTGACTGGCTCAGGGTTGTTCTCAGATCACCCCATAGGGCAGTGAGTTCTGCTGTTGCCCTGGAACTGAGGCAAGGGTTTGGCCACATGTCAAAGCTCCAGGCTGTCCTATGATACCCCAACTCCTGGAGCAGTTCTGACATTGAAGAGTCTTCTGTAGATTGGGGTCTTGTGGTCTTTAGTCTTTATTTAGAGGAAATTTTACTCATTAAGCTTGAGAAAGCCTGCCCAGAGGGGAGGAAAGGTCTGGCTAACATTGGGTCATCTCTGTAGGGCCTCTGATCCGGAAGCAGGTGTGGCGCGGGGTATAGACTTCCACCATGTGTCTGCTGTACTCAACTTTGATCTTCCCCCCACCCCTGAGGCCTACATCCATCGAGCTGGCAGGTAGGAGGGTTAGGAGTGATGGGCCAGGCACCTGGGCTGTGGGCCTGCTGGAGAACTTGGGGTGTAACGGACAGAACCTATAGGCCGGAGGTGCAGCCTGCCATCTCTCCACTTGCAGGACGGCACGCGCTAACAACCCAGGCATAGTCTTGACTTTCGTGTTGCCTACGGAGCAGTCCCACTTGGACAAGATTGAGGAGCTTCTCAGTGGAGGTGAGAACCCAGCTCCTGTGGGCTTGGGCCAGGGCCAGGCTTTTCCCATGATGCCTTAAAAACCCCACAATAGTGATGGCAGAAGTAACTATGTAGTATGATAAACAGCTTCCACTGTCCATCCTCATCATGCCCTGTGTGGCAGACACTCACTGTCCCCCTTGACAAATGAGCAAACTGAAGTTCTTTCTGCCTCATGAGCATTGGGTGACCCAACACGATGCTCTGACACACCTCATGATAGCACTTAGTCTCAAGGTGCTGCCTGCTTTTCAGCTCCGTCCATGGCTGTCATCATGGGATGTTCTTGGGACCAGAGCAGCCTTGGGAGAGGAGGAGAGAGTGGGTGGCAGGTCCTGGGGCTCAGGGGTGCACAGGTGACCCCTGTCAAAACACAGGGCCACATGGGCCACCCTTATCCACTCATGGGGACCAATGGGTTGCCACTGTCCATGAGACCCTGCTGCAGATAAGCTGTTTGGCATCCCAGGGAGGCAGTGGGTCCCCTGCCGCCTCATCCTGGGAGGAGGTGCAGGAGGCCTATTGTGAATACCTTGTCCTAAGCCCTCAGCCTATGGGACCCCCACTGTTGCCTTCTCCACAGAGAATGGGGCCCCCGTCCTGCTCCCCTACCAGTTCCGGATGGAGGAGATTGAGGGCTTCCGCTATCGCTGCAGGGTAAGCTGGCCGCGGCGCGGAGGGGAGTAGTGGGGGTAGAGGGCTGTGACCCAAGGGTTGCACCCCATTGCTGAGCATCCAGGCATGAGGGAGGATTTGGGACAGCCTCCCTGTCTTGACCTTCAGCATCCACCCCTAGGATGCCATGCGCTCGGTGACTAAACAGGCCATTCGGGAGGCGAGATTGAAGGAGATCAAGGAGGAGCTCCTGCACTCTGAGAAGCTCAAGGTGAGTTGAGGGTGGGGCACAGCCTAGGCAGCTGCCCTTGGAGACCAGCAGAGCTGAGTGGTGAGAAGCAGAGAAGCAGGCAGCATGCTGGCCTTTGGGAGAGAGAGGGAGGAAACGGCCCAGAACCATTGACCAACTCGGCTGGGAGGTAAACTGGCACAACCTTAGGGTGGGTACTGTCAGTGTCCCTTGGTTTAGAAATTTTACTTCTGGAACTTAACCCCAGGCATACTTGTGAATGTGCACGGTGACACACGTGTTCGCATTCATCGCAGCATTATTACGGAACCAAACGGTGAAAGCAGAAGGGGCTTGCTAGGTGAATTAAGGTGCGTCCAGAGCCTAAGGTTACAGACATGGGAAGGAACGAGGAGGCTGTTTGTGTGTCCATACCGAACACTCTGTAAGACGATGCCAGGCGGAAAGGGGTGCAGGTGCTGCTGTCTGTGGGACAGAGGAGGAAGCGTGTAAACGTGTAAATGTTCTTGTGGGAGTGCACGGGACTCGGGGGAGTGCAGGAAACTAGCATGAGTAGCCAGCTGTCTCTGGGCAGGTGGCATGATGGAGACACAGGCGGTACAAAAACTTCACTGTGTGATTGCTCATGTCTTTTAAATTTTAAAATACGTGACTATGGTATCCTTCCAAAAACTCAACCTGTGAAGTTACAAAAAAAAAATGTGCTGACTGCGGCGCTCACTCTCCCCCTGTCAGACGTACTTTGAAGACAACCCCAGGGACCTCCAGCTGCTGCGGCATGACCTACCCTTGCATCCTGCGGTGGTGAAGCCCCACCTGGGCCACGTCCCTGACTACCTGGGTGAGTGTGGCCGAGGGGCGTGAGGAGCCAGTGGGCTGGGGGAAATGGCATTGGTTCCTCGGCTGCTGCATGTCAACCCCTGTGCTCAGTGGTGGGGATGCTTGGGTGGAGCAGGACGCTGGAGACCCAGGCAGCATGCATGTCCACAAACAAGTGCACCCGTGTTCAGGCTCACGCTTATAAAACTCGTTCACCCCATCCCATGGGGTAGCTGTTGCTGTCTCCGTTGTGGAGATGAGGAAACTGAGGTAGTGCAGAATTGGCAGCAGATCCTGGATTTAAGGCCAGGTGATCTCAACGGCTTGGCCGAATGAAAGAATGAACCAGTGACTGACCAAATACCTATCCATGGACTGGTGGGAGTGGACAGTGTGAGGGAGGGTCATGGTGGGAATCAGAGCCCATGGGATTAGCAGCCACTGACGTTCAGGCCGGGGCATCTGTGGAGTGTCCAGTAAGGACAGTTGACAGGCAGCGGTGGCGTGCGCTTGTAGTCCCAGTTACTCTGGACACTGAGGCAGGAGGATCACTTGAGCCCAAGAGTCTTAGGCCAGCCTGGACAACAGTGAGACTCCATCTCTAAAACAAAAACAAAAACGTTTGACGGGGGAACAGACGCTGTATGGTGTAAACAGACAGTGTAGCAAAGGGAAGAGCTGAGGACAGAGCGAGGGGTACAGGGGTTGGCAGGTGCAAGGTCAGGACCCCCGGAGTGTTTTCTGTGGTGCAGTCAAGGCCAAGCCCAGACCTTTATGTGCATAGCCATTAAACCTGGGCTACTCTTTTCATCTGATGCAAGGTCTCGATAATGACTTCTTTTTGGCATCCGTGTGTGATGTTTTGGTAATGATCAGGTGTGACTTTTATGCCTGGGATGGAGTAAAGGAGAAGAGTGGCAAGGGATGCTGTGGGCAGTGCGTGCAGCCCCCTTCCCAGGGCTGTGGGGTCTGGCCTCCTGGACCGGTAGCCAGCGAGTGTGGTGTTGCTGCCGTGGAGGTGGCAGGAGGGTGGAGATGGAGGTTCCAGGGCAGGAAAGGCCTGAGCAATGGGAAGGGAAGGATCCAGAAGAGATGGGAACATGATCATGCCAGCAAGAGAGTGGTAGGGGCCAGGTTTCCAAAGGACAGCGAGCTGAAGGAGACCCCATCCTGGGTCCTGGTCTGAGATTCCAGGAAAGGAGTGGGGTTAAGGGGGGAAGGCAGAAGGTGAGGCTGGGGCTTTGGCCTGAGGAACCCCGGCTGCTCTGTCAGGTAGGAGTGGAGTCACTTGCTTGGAGGGTGTGGCCAGGAGGTTTAGAAAGGCCATGGAAAGGTGGAAAGTCAGGATGCAGGACGTTTGACACTTGAAGGAGGGCCCAGGCTGGTTGGCCTAGTGTAGTCCAAGGGGTGGGTGAGGAGAGGGCAGAGCCAAGGTCAGGCGCAGCCGGGGTGGGGGAGTGGAAGGAAGGGCGTGGGGGCCTAGTGAATTTATAGTAATAGGTGTAGTAACAGGTGAAGAAACTACTATGGACTTTTCTTCTTTCAGCTGCATTTTCTTACTTTAAAGATATACATCTTTATTTTTCTTTTTTTCTGCATGTTTAGTATAGCAAATCTAAATACTACAGAAGACTGATTTAGACAGTAGAAGTCTAACGAGCTTACATTCTTCTGGCCCTGTGCAAATGTGGTAGCGAATATGTCACAAGCTCTCAGTTGGATCAGAATTGGAGAACTTGGGGCAGAGTCAGGGGGAGGGGGAAGGTGGGGGGTGGGCAGCGCTGAGAAAGGCTTGTGGGATGGACAGGGTGGGGGTGGCAGTGGTGAGGCCACTGAGGCCAAGCATCCCTTCCAGTTCCTTCTGCTCTTCGTGGCCTCGTACGCCCTCACAAGAAGCGGAAAAAGCCATCTTCCTCCTGTAGGAAGGCCAAGGTATGGCACCTGGGGGCCTTGAGGACAGTTGCAGGACTCCTCCCCAACCTTGCTTCTTTGTCATGATGTGTAGGCGCCTTGCCCTAGGGAGGGGGAGAGGGTACCCAAGAACTGAGCCCGAAAAATCCGGTGGCTGAGACAAAATCATTTGGGCTGGGAACACTTCTGCTGCTGCCCACAGGCCCCACTTTTCTGTCCCTTGTTGCCTCAATGTCTGCAGCAGTTTCTGGTCTCATTGGCTTGTGGCCTGCAGGGGCCTTGCCAAGTGTCCACGTGGCCCCCTTTGTGTCTGTCTCGGTTTGGGTGGACGGATGGATGGATGGTTGGTTGATCAGTTGGTCTCATTCCCCCAACTAACCCATGACTTTGACCCCATAGAAGACGAAGGCCCAGAACCCACTGCGCAGCTTCAAGCACAAAGGAAAGAAATTGAGACCTGCAGCGAAGCCCTCTTGAGGTTGTCTGGGCTTCTCCGGGACTGAGCACAGTGCGGGCTTCCCAGGCTGCGTGGATAGGCGCGGCTCCGGTGCGCGAAGCAATTCCTGGACAGACTGAATTCTGGGGCAGGCAGTGCTGGGCCCTCCAGCTCCTTGGCACTGCCAGGCTGACATCTTGCTCCTTAACAACAGAATAAAGGTTCTAGCTGCCCCAATTTGTGCCTCTGGTGTGTAGGAAAGGACTCTGACCTAAAACCTCAGGAGTCAGGAAACTTTGAGGGCAGCAGTGCCTGTGTCTGCTACTGCACTCGCTTGGCCAACAGAGGTCAGCTGTGCGGAGCTGACCCCCAGCCGTGAGAAAAGAAGCCTGCCCTCATCCAGCATGTGACTGTGGCCGGCCAGAGCCCTCCTGTCCACCTCCTGGTGCCCTGCTACCTGGGATCAGACAGGCAGATGAGCCTGCACCCCTGGGAGAGGGGCCTTCCTGGCCATGAGCCTCCTTCTTCCCCAATGTGTACACGTTGTAGAGTCAGAGGAGCCAGTGCAGCTATCTGCTAGTCCTTTCCGGAACCATTCATGTATGACCTTGTGTCTGCATGCTAAAGTGCACAAGTGGTGCTGTGACATGCATATATACATGCACTGTTCCCTTTTTTGTACTTTCCCTTTGTGCTCTCCAGCTGACTTCCCAGCGTGAAGGCTGGGTCTTCCAGCTTCTGTTTGCTTATAGGACTGACAGGGGTGGGATTCTCTGCTGAGTTGGGGCCCTAGATGAGTGCCTGCTTATCACAGTGTCACGGTCACCTGCTTAGCAGGCAGCTCAGGGCCAGGCTGAGGCATGAGGAGTTTGGGTAGGGGGGGGAGAGCTAGGAGAAAGTAGAGAAGTGCTCGAGTATTTTAGGAAGAAACCAAGCTGTAGAATCTCAGCAAAAATTTGTACAGAGGTGAGAGGGATGGGCCTTTGGTTCCAGTTAGGGTGTGGTGGTTCTGGGGGTGGTAGGACCTGAGCTTTGGAGGCTTCTTGATTCCTACTTCCCTTCTGTTAACTCCTGAGGATTTCTAGGAAGCCAGGGTGGGTGATGGGGTTGGGGGCGGTGGTATTTTCAGTGGGCAGGTGTGAACTAGAGCTGCCAGGGCGATGCAGGCAGTATTATGTCTGTGTGTGGTGGCTGGGGAGTATTCAGAAGGAAAAACAGTTAATGGAGCTGCAGATACAGACCAGCTATGTGAGCATGTGCTGGGAGAGGCTGTCAACCACGCAGACCCTATCGTGGCCTTGTGAACAAGGAGACAGGCGGAGAGCTCTTGAAGTGCTGAGGCCTGGCTTTAGTCCCAGGTTGGTTCCCACCCTGCTTCATGGGGTGCTGAGGCCTGGCCCTGGGGACCGTGAGTGCTCTGTTGCAGATGTTACAGCCAAGCTGTGCTCTGAAGTGATGCACAGCCTGTCTCGTCTCCGACCCTGCCATGTTCAGGCACACCCTGCCGATAGAGCTTGCATCCCAGAAGCGCCCTGGTTGGAGAGGAGATTGGGTTTCCCAAATAATTTCCTTATGGGGAGATGGGGTGGAGGAACATGGAGCCAGCCCCCTGTTTACTCCTGCTTGGGGACCGTGGGGTCTGGGCCAGGAGCAGAGGGGCTCAGGTGAAGGCATGACAGCTGTTTGTTGAGTGTGTACATTCCTTCCTCCTAGTTCATGACAACCCTTGGGGAGGCTATTCTGTGTCCTACATGGGGGGAGATGAGGCTCAGAAGTTACCTGGTGAATGGGAGGTCTCAGAGCAGGGGAGGGCTGGGCAGTGCAGGGCAGGTTGGCCAGTCTGTCTACCTCAGTAGAGAAGCAGATACTACTGGCACTTCCACCCCCACGGGGGCAGGTGCCATCGTGGGTGCTCTGAGGCCTGTCCATGCTGTGTCCCCCCCTGAGCTACAGCAGGCCCTGCACTTGGTCCAGCCTGAATTGGCCAGGGCACTGAAGAAGAGGGTCCATGTCCACTTCCTGAGTCTGCAGAGGGAAGTGTGTAGGGATTGTTAGATGCCCACACAGCCCTGGAGGGCAGGTACCACGTGTCCATTTACATGTGAACAAACAGATGCTTGGGGTTGATCTCTTAGACTCAGTCTCCGGCCAAAGCCCACGCCCTTAACTTCGCACATGTCCAAACCAGGACTGGGACAGGCCTCTTATGATGGTGTGTGCATGATGGACACACGAACCTGGGGCTATCCAAAGCCAGGCAGCACTGGAGGCCACATGGGCCAGGGAGGGAAGAAGCAAGTGGGGTGTGTGCTGTCTGGAAGCTTAGGGCATCACAAAACGGCAGAAAAGCTCCAGGCCAATGACGCCCTGGGCTCAAGCAGGAATTTCAGAAGAATGCAGTGTTATCGCCACCCCGGAATGGCGCACCTAGACCTGTATGAGCACCTGTGTGTCTGTACAGTATGCTAGGGTCTAGAATCCAGTGGGCAAGGTACAGTCCATGAGGCAAGGAGCCTAGATGGTAAGCCAGTGCACGGCTGGGGGGAGTCCAGGGTGCTGCTGGGCTGTAAGGGGTCCTCACCCTGTTGGAGGGAATGCTAGATGGGAAGGGTGGGAGGAAACAGCAAGTGTATATTCTCCAGGGTGAGAGGGATCCCTGCACAGGCCAGAGTGGTCATCACCCAAAATATGCAACAGGAGCTGAAAAATTTTTTTTCTTTTTTTTGCTCTCAAAAATTTATTTTTTAAAATATGCAATCACATGTTAAAAATTAAAAGGATACAAAAAAGTACAGGTTTTTTTTTTTTTTCAACGTGGGGGGCACTCTGATCAGATAGCAGAGGTAGCCAAGGTGATATCGGATTGGAGGACAGATGTGTGTGCCGGGAGGCCTCCGGACCCAGAGCACAAAAGGCTCAGGTCTGTTCCATCCTACTTGATTCTCTGCCCTCACCTGCAGAATGACTCAGCTTTTGGAGAATTAGTTTTTGTGGGACTTTGGTCTTCAGAGGCAGGGGCCCCAAGAGGCAATGGTGATAAAGTCAAATCCCAGCAGGGGAGGTGCCCCTGCCAAGTGTCATTCTCTTTCCCCCAGAAAGATAATTACATAAGACCCCTACCTTGCAGAAGGAGCTGCGAGTTGCTGCTTTTGCATTTATCACGGCCATTTTTACAAGGGTAAAGGAAGAAGTGGTCCTTCATTGCAGAGGGTGAGGAATCTTAGGCAAGCAGAGCAGCCGTGTGCCAGGCACCATGCTGGGCAAACTGCACATCATTTAGTTTATTCCTCTTGAAATGCCTTCAGAACTCAACACGTCCAATGTGTCTGTTCACCTACCTTGTCCATCCACAAACTCGCCGAGGAGCAGTACGATTGGCATAGAATGTACCAAGGGTGTCCATGGCCATGACTGAGTTAGAGAACGAGGCACATCAAGGGGGTTTTCAAACAAGCAACCCTAGAGCTGCCTCCACCACGTAGCATCGTGCCATGGCACAGCTCAGTGTGCCAGGTGCACTGTGGTCACGGCGGCCGGGTCAGATCATGGCACTTACTAGCTGTGTGGCCTTGTACAGCGAAGGCACCTCACTTTTCTTGGCCTTTTCTGAGTTTTTACCTGTAAGAGGGGGTAGAAATGGCCCCTCCAGAGGTTCCCGTGGGGGCTGATATGGAGTGTGGGTGAAATGCTGGTGTGGCCCAGGCACCTGGTGCCCTCGTGGCAGCCCAGCTCCGTGCTGGCAGCTCCCCATGCCTCTCAAATCACCCATCGCCCTGTGGGACGAGTCTCTATACAGCGCCCTCAAGCTGCTGTGTACACCGAGTCATCACAGGGATCATCTTAAAAATGGAGATTCTTATTCTGCAGGTCTAGGGCAGGGCGTGGGACTCCTCGTTTCTGACAACCTTCCACCCAGGCGAGGCTGCTGTTGCTGATCCCCAGACCACAAGAGAGGGGAGGCTTTAATACCCACCACAACCATCCATTTTACAGATTGGCAAACTGAGGCCCAGAGTGAGCCAGCCCAATGCCACCTGGCTATGTGGTGGAAAGAGAGGTGCTCAGTCTGTTGGACTCCAGTCTGGAATCAGAGGTGGCAGACCTGGGTTCAGGCCCCAGTTCTGAATCTCCCCCATCACTTCCCTTCTCTGAGCCCAGCTCTTCATCCGTAAATCACAGCGATGAGGGAAGGCAGTAGGGATGTCTATCTAGATTTGAATTTCAGATAAACAATGAGGAATTTTACAGCATAACCATGTACCATCCAACATTTGAAACATACTAAAAAAAAATTACTGGTTCTCTGAAATGCAAATCTAGTTGGGCACCCTGCTTATTTGCTAAATTTGGCAACCCTAGGATGTGAGACCTATCTCACCCAGAAACAGCCTCCTCCAGGAAGCCTTCCCGAGTCCCAGCCAGGGCTGGGTGCCCTCCTCTGTGTGTCTGATACTGCCTTGATCTCATGAAGTTTTAATCACTAGGTACCTGTACTCCCACCCTGGTGTGGGAGCTCTTTTGAGGCAGGGACCATGCCAAGCTGTGTGTGTGTTCCTGGGCCCAGCTGTTCATTAGAAGTTTCCCCCTGGGAGTACCCCTAATGCCTCAGGGGCAATTCTCTTTTCACAGTCCTTCTCCTGCCTGAGGCTCTTGAAGACTATTTGCAGTTAAAAGTGCAAGAGAAGGACATGGTAGGAACAGCACTGGGCAGAGCTAGACTACCACCCCCGATGCGACAGGCAGGACTCCTCCCTCCATGTCACCTCCATGGCTCAGGGCAGAGACAGGAGGCCCTCAGCCTCGTCCTCATGGGGGCTCCAATTGTGTTCCACCCAAGCTCTGCGGGCCCCATGTTTGTCAAGGCCAGGAGTATTGGGAGCCCATCTCCATCCTCACCTGGGAGACCCTGCTTCAGGCCCCCCGCAGGGCTCCTTTTGGTGCCTACAGCTCACTTTACAACTTGTTGGCTCAAGATTAGAAAATGCAGTGTGACGTCAAGGTGGACCACCACAGAAGACAAAGGTCCCAGGACGAAGGCTGGTATGAACATGAGAAGCAATCTGATGCTTGTACAGTAGAGACTAAGCATGAAAAGTCTCTCTCCCAGACCTTGTCCCATCTCAGCCTGGACACGAGATCTCCATTTCTGGTGGCTCCCCCTGCTTGGTGGTCTGGCTTCAGCGTCTTAGGCCTGCCCAGCTTAATACCCTTTTCTGCCAGAACCTGCAGCTGGGGCT